CTGAATGGGGCCAGAAGTTTCGTTCACGCTGCTCCGTCTTCTTGGAAGTGGCTACAAGAACCTCTGGGACTGACTGAATTCACCTCACTCAACACTTTTACACACAAACTAAAAGTTACTGAGGCCAATTCAATGAAAAGTACCTGTTTTTATAGCTAGCTGGTCTTATAGTAGCTGTTTCTGATAGTTTGACATTTTCTTTTAACTGTGTAATGTTTTATCTTGTATTTGTTGCTGCCTCTTGACCAGGACTCTCGTGACAAAGAGGTTTTTAATCTCAGGGGTTTTTATCCTGGTAAAATAACCGTTAAATAAAAATAAAAAAAGCATAAAATGAAAAGTAAACAGAAGAAATGACATAAAAACAAAACAAAAACAGCTACATTACAAAGTGATATAAAACACTAACAACAAGAATGTGTCTGTTGGTTTTTGCATGAATTATTGTGTCTTATAAACAAATGCAATAAACAATGACTACAAAAATAAAGTATTTACACCGAATACTTTATATGCACCTCCTAAGCACATAATTAGAGGAGTGAATAAAGAACGGTTTGGAAATGATTGAGAAGATGAAGACGAGCAAAGAAGAATAATCAGAAGGGCTGAGCCAAGTTTTTACGTTTGTAAAATGACTCGTGACATAATTGAAAAGTGGTTGAAATGCACAGAACCCGGATCAAAGTTCCACTCACATGTTTTCATGTGCGGCCTTCATTGCTTTGGCAGCAAAGCCCATGTTTTTCAGCACTTCTGTGTTGGTGTTGGCGTTCTCCAAAGCCTCCCTCTGGAACTCGATGGTGGACAGCGTCCCGTCGATCTGAGTCAGCTGCTTCTCGTAACGCTTCTTCCTCTTCAAGGCCTGCAGCGCCGCTAGACGACACAAACAAGGAAACGCTCAGTCCACAAGGCTTCAACAACAAATGATCTGCTCTAAAGTGACACTCTGTTCTAGCCAGCATTTTAATATATACTATATATAATTTTATTATTTTTATAATTTATTATTATAATTTTACATATTTTATTATTATTTCATATATACATACGCATACATATAAATATACACACATACCCCTATATGTACACATATATGTACACTAGGGCATTAACAGTGTACTCTAGTAATCTACACATCGATTGCTAGGACATCTATCGATGTTAAAATTTTAACATGGAGTATCCGTAGTGACGTCATATTGTGTGACCACCGTATGACCGTAGGGGGCGGTGCTGCACTGTTGCAGGTCACAGAGTATGGTGCAACACCGGGTCCAATCCACCAGAACAGCAACCTTTTTAATTAGTTTAGTGGAAGAAACAACACTCAACTTTGTTTATTCTTTTATTGTCTTTCAAAAACCTAACTGAAGGAAACATGCAGGCGCTCCACAGGTATTTGTGCTGCAGGTGTTCTTTCCTGGCCTTTCTAAGCTTTGGTAGGTTTGTACCGTTTGCACATCCCTTGTAAATATGTTGCAGACAGTCTACTGTTACTGTCCTGGTTCAATAAATGAAAAGTAACATGAAACCAACTTATTGACTGGTTGAGAACTGGCTGCCGTCCTCTCTACTCCACTTGGGCTTCTCTGCTGATTTCAATCTAAATACTTGTCGTCAGTTTTGGAGTGAGAGGAATCATCCAGGTGAGATCATCAGAACAGGTTTGACACGTTTCGAACTCCTCGTGCATCTTCATTCAAGTACAGCTAGAACACCACAAAGCTACAAGTTCAAAATCTGGAGTTTGAGTTAGAGGAAAGGGTACCACTTGAGTTTTACGGACTCTAGAATTAGTGGGCATGGTACTTGTACTATGGTGGTATTTTTTAATTCTAGTACAAAACAAAAACAGTTGGTAACTGGCTTGAACTGGACGAGGACGGAGTGATTTGTTGAGCCAAACGTTTTAAACTTTGGACCCCTAGAGGCTCAAATAAAATGACAGTTTAAAGATAAAATCTTCACCATTAAGCTGAACTAACCATGACCTGATGAGCTGCAGCTGCTAGGAAACTCTTTATGAACTCGTGATTATTGGGTTTAGCTTTTTACAACATTTATGTCAAAATATGTTACGTGGACTCCAACAAGAAGTCTGAGAAAAGAACCTTTTCCTGTTTTACATTTCATAAAAGGTCATTATGAGATGGCAGGGGACAATTTGTGTTTTACCCAATAAAATATGTTTACACTGCCAGTGGTGGGATGTAACTAAGTACAAATACTTCGTTTCTGTACTTCAGTACATTTTTCGTGTATCTGTACTTTACTTAAGAAGAGTTAAATGTGGGTGCTTTATACTTTTACTCCACTACATTTTACATCAAGTATCTGTACTTTCTACTACACTACATTTCTATAACGTGTTGCATTAAAGTTACATTCATGTTGCAGCTTTTTGATTTGTTCGTTACTTTGAAAGTAACTAATAATGAAAGTAACTAATGATGAGAGGAGCTGGTCCAGTGAATCACTGCAGAGTGGGCAGGTAACGTTAGGCCCCGCCTTCAAGAAGAGCTGGGCCAGTGACATATATTCTAGTATTTATGTCACTGAGCTGGGTGCACCTGCAGCACCACTAACACACCCAGAATGTATTCCACCGTGAGAGAGTCACCCAGAAGATACGCTGCACACAGGGCCTTATTGAAAGATTATTGAAAGATTATTGAAAGACTATTGACAGACTATTGAAACATTATTGAAAGACTATTGAAAGACTATTGAAAGACTATTGAAAGATTATTTAAAGATTAATGAAAGACTATTGAAAGATTATTGAAAGAGTAT